AAGTCGACAAAACTGCAACGAAAGCAGCAGAAGCTCCTTGGCCGAAGTCCCCTTACGGGGTGACGTTGGTGGGGTTTTTTCAATATCGACCCTAATTTGTTACATAGTTGAAGTAGTTCTAGAGCATTTGTGTCAACACTTAGTCTATCTGAAGTGTCACTTTAAAAGCTGTAGTTTGAATGTCAAAGAAGTTAATTTCCAGGTTGCTGTTGACAAACTTATTGTTCATTTTTAATTTTTTTTTTTCAATACAACACAGTAAGTTTTTCTTTATTATTGAGTTGATGTATATGCCTTTGGCAAAGCTAACATCTGCCTTATCCTCTTGCCTTTTCAAAATCAAAGGTGATGATACCTGTGACAGTAATACAGTACGAGATGTGTACATCAACATGTGCCTCCTACAAATAAAGACTTGTTGTTTTTTTGATACACTGTGGTTAAATTCGTAATAATAGCTCCGTAATCCTGTGGTTTTAGCAGCATTTTTGGGGGGGCCCGATTTTTTTTTTCGCCCTCTCGCATTAGTTTTGGGGTCTTCAGAGGATGTCATCCATAAAATTAAATCAGTGTGGCCTAATGCTAGATTTAAAGCAGTATTTATATAACTGTCAAAAAAAAAGTTTATTTAACGAATAGTGACCTGCATTCCTGTGCAATACGTGAAATCGTGAGCATGAGAATGGTGTAAGATGTGTCATACATTCTACAATGGTCACACCATGTAGAACGTTAGCTTTCCCACCAAATCTATCAGTTATAGAATGATTCCATAATAACAATTTAAAGCTGAAATCAGCATCCAACGGGTCAGATGTGTATGGCAACGGTTACAAGGGATTATATACTGCAATAAACCTCAAAGCGGGGGGGGTCTTCACCTGCGCATGCGTCAGATGGTCATAGCGTGTCATTGTTTACAAGCAAGCGTCTACCAATTAGCCTTTGCGTTTTAAGCGTGTGTTGTTATCGTCGCTTGTCAAATATGAGTGCATTTAGGCTACAAACAGATCAAAAGGTTGTTCACTTTGTGTGACATAGATTTTATTCCAGTTTCCATTAATTCGATGCGACAACTCTAAATGGCCAATCATAATGAGGGTGTCAAAGTTGAACGAAGTTAGTTCATATGTCACATCAATGTGATTATTGGCTCTAAAAAAAAATACACATTATTTGTAAATTCAATGAGATTTAAAGTCATGTGTATGCTGACTTTTTTGCTCAAAAGTGAAAGAAATAGACTTTCTGTTTTATTTATTTTTTGAAACATGGCTGCCATATCACGTGACCCATTGTAGTGAGTTTATCAGCATATGACATAATTTTAAATCATCTGATTCATAAGTATCTAGTAATTTTAGTATTATTAGCGTGATCCAAATGTGACTAATTATAATGAGATTTCAAGTACAAACGTTTCTAAAGCAATAGTAAATATTACATAGTATTCAATTGAAAATGCAGTAACGTAATGTGACGGCATAACACAACTATCAGATTGCATAGACACTCAGAAAAAGTTCAAAATTGCCACTTTTCGCTGACAAGCTCACGGAAAAGAAAACTACGGACAAGTATCTAAACAATTAAAATATCACTCACTGTATTCGCAGATGTATCCCATCTCATAACTGCAGTAAGCATCACCCCATTTTAACGATTTCGATTTGCTGTTGAGTATCAATATAAATTAGTATGTACAAACGTGAAATGTACAAGTGGTGGAGAGTTAATTTGTTTTGTTTCCATAAACTTACCTTTAAGAAGCAACATGGACGAGAACATGTAATTTATAATATTGTTGTTTAATGACGTGTGCAAAAGTTACATTTAACCATGAGTTATAATGTCGTTAATTTATAAAATTTATAAATGTCAATGGAAGTTGAATCCAACCAGACAATCAAGAAACACGGTGCGCAACGACGCCACGTTCCACCTTTATTCAATCGGCCAGTAGAAACCTCTAGTTTCAGTTTGAAAGATAAACTTTATAAAGACGATGGAAATGTCGTAATCAAATTAAAAACATAACGATTTGACTGTCTGGACAAACATTACTCTTTATTGTGTGAAGCATAAATTAGAGCACTTAAGAACAGTCTGAACGCACGCATACCGTTTCTTTATGAAAAGTTTATAACGTACCCGCCTTTACCTGGCGGCAGTGTATACTGAATTATATTTTTTTGTATTCAATAATTCAAATTAGAAACTTGCTGCTTACTTCATAAGTCCACAATCCTGACCATTTGGGTCTTTTTTGGTACTATTATTTGGCTGTCGTTTTGCCCATCTTACGAAGTTTCCCTGTAAAAGTCGTGTGCCATCAGACCACATATATGTCCCTTCGTTGTCAATGTCGTCAAGCCCGAACCAAAAACCATTTCGAACTTTGTCTGCGAGATTATTGGCAAATATATATTGGCGGATGTTGTCGAATATTTCTTGTGTGTCTATCTTAGCCAGCCTTCCTCCATCACTTTCACAGTTGGATTTTGCAGCCTCCCACGTCACCTCGTCTGTGATTACCTCAAAATGGCGACAACCAACACACACAGTACCGGGAACTGGGTATCAGAATGTAAGTAGTCACGATTTACTATTTTAGCAGTAATGCCAGTGTGATATGCAGCCGGGACAACATAGCATGGCCTTTGTACGCACACTGCGTGTCTGGGGGCGTGTATAATAAACAAGTTAAGAATGTGTTTTGTCATTTCCCGTAACGTCTCATCTCGGTAGCGGCGTTTTCGTCACTCTCTTCATAAAACTGACTACACAAGGCGTCAACTACAATTTACATAGACGATGCAGCGCCCACAATGGCATGTGTAGGTAAATCGCACCTACAGTTAACGCGTGCAAGTCACGATCACGCTATTATGTATTGTATATGTTTATTATGCAAATGTGCGTTTGTATATTTGATCAAATAGACCGAAAGCTCTTACGATGAACTAGAACCACTCAGACCATAATATATATATATATATATATCATCATCACTAATCATGTATGTCGTGTAAGAAAACAACATGACAATGTCTTACTTTTACAATCACACGTCTTTCCATTGGCCTGTTCTTCACCAAACTTAAAGAAAATAAAGTACCAATTTTATGACATTCAGAACAAATACAAGATGTGGTGGCGTAATAACGATAGTGCGACTCGAGAATGCTCTGACAATTCTAATAATATCATGAATATGACGGATTGGTTCATACCTTATACAACAATCCCAGATAGTAGCAGCCACAGCGCAATTGGTCAATGCATTGCCCACCTTCAGTGACGACTTTACCAGGTTCGCAGAAACAACCCTCAATACATTGCTGAGTGCATGAACCGACTGGGTTTGGATTCGCACATGTTGCAGGACATGTTGGTCCACATGAACTATAAGCAGAACCAACCGGGCACGGTATTTCTAAATCGGAGCAAAAAAATATTAATATTATATAATTGCCAAAGTAGTTGTAACCATGATGGTTGACTTAAGAATTATGTATATTACTGTCAATGGACAGAACCTGTCATCTTTCATACCGCATTCATTTCCAGTTCTCCAATCACCGACCACGATACCGACGTCTTGACATTGCATAACGTAAGCTGAAACTACTGCACATCCACCAGATGGGTCTCCTGGTAGAGTTGCTGATAAATCCATGATACAGGCACCTAGAAACACAGCGGGGTCGACCAGGCCCTTGCAAGCCGGTATATTACCTACGAAAAATACGGATAAGAGGATACGTATGATTCATGTTACAATCGATAATCTTGGGCACTAGCACAACGTACAACTGTCATGAATTTGTTTTCGCGTATCTGTTAACCGACTTAATTAGTTGATTATTAGCGAATTGCTGTGTTATGTCTGTCATCGTGTAGGCCTATTTGAAGTTTTGGACGGAACTTGGCTCAGTGATTTGGAACTAATTACGAGATATCCGTCGCGATTCTGACAGTTGGTATTCCATAGTTATTAATGTAGTGAACGATTAATCAAAAGATATGACGTATTCAGTACTTAGTGTGATTGGCTTTATGATTGAAGGTTACGCCCTAGAGTCTTTTTACTGCTTTGTAATTGGTTAGAGTATTGAAAATGAATAAAGAGAGTTTGAGTTGGTCTTAAAGAGTACTCTACGATAGACGCAGTCTGAGAGTAGAGAGAGGGCAGTCTGAGAGTCGAGAGTCCAGTCCAGGGGCGAGCCTTGAGGTAGTCCAGTCTTGGGCGAGTCTTGGTTCAGCCTTGTGAGAGTCTTGGGGATTTTTTCCCCAGGGCGCTGTGTCTGATAGAGTGCTCGAAAGATCGACTAAGACGAGAGCTGAAACGTATTTCGTTGTGTGTGCCTTAATTGACTGTAAAGTTAAAGTGACATTCCCGATCCCGTACCTCAAGGGGACGAGATATAGAGACGAGACGAGTTTCCCCCCTGGCAAGTGTGGAGACCCCGTGGAAGAGAATTTCCCCCTGATACAACACGCACACATGCAATGTAATCCAACACAAGTCTCATCAACTCCATCCACATATCAATACTTAAAAATCTATTTACCAGCGGTGAATAGATGGTTACAAATTTGCTCTGCCGTGGCTGTGTCCCGTGGAACCTCGTCGTAGACTGAACGATGGGCCGTGGTACAATCTGATCCTGTTACCTGCCAACTGTCCCCAAATTCGTTATTTGTAGTTGCCTGTTGAAAGATTAGATTAGGGAAGCCCAAGGTGCTGACGCTGTTCGTGTCAGGCTAGGACCATGGAAAATTAAAACGAAGAGGTGTACGTTTTATTTGCAGACACAGGCTATTTTAAATAACAACATGTAATTTCAAATTTAGGAAATATATAAAGTTTTTACATAAACAGACAGAGAATATCAGGCTCCAAAACTGCATCCACTAAAAAAATACCACCAGAAAAACGGGTCCAATGTTTGAACCAAGTTTGAACGAAACATTCATACTTGACCGAAATCCGGTCCTGATATTTCTACCAAGTTTGAACAAATCCGTTCATACACGCCGGATATCTGGTTTCGGAATTTTCATCATTTCAATTTCCACTATTCCGCCATTTTAAATCTGATCATCGAATAATTATCTGTGTGAAATTATGTATGAACATGATTGGCCAAGGCATGACAGAGATATGTCCCTGGAAGCATTCATTAAAACGATATGACCACCGGTCGGCCATTTTCGATCTGATCTGAAAAAACATAATGACGTACATCAACGCCATATAATGTCCAAAATCCGTCCATACACCAACTGCTTGAATTTGAAGAATATTTAGCACAAAAATGTCCGCCATTCGCCCATCTTGAGTCAGATAACCCAAGATATGTGATGTATTTGTGAAGTTTGAATGTGATTGGAACAGGCACGTCCGAGATATAGGTGGAGACTCGGACGCACGCCCACCCACCCGCGCTTGTGGGCGTCAACATTTATGTTACCGTTTTCGGACTGCGGAACTAAATTTATATAATAAACAATATGCAAAGCATCCTACACTGTTTACATTTATACCACACGCTGACAAATTACACTGAGACACTGTTATAAATATTTACCAAAATCCCATTTGACATAGTCCAATCGTCCGATGGATTACTATTAAAATTGCCACAGAGACCGCACACACCTTGGTGAGAGTTTGACATAACGACAATAACAGTTGACACACCATTCCAGTACACTTTCATTCCGTGACCTGTGTTTACAATCTGTAGATACAGTATATATTATTGCTGGGGTATATATATATATATATTTGATAATGTGAGGTTATTAAGAGGATACCTTAAAGTATGCGCGCCGTACTGTCTGAGTGCATACTTTAAGGTATTCTCGTAATAACCTTATTATTATACATCTTTTTCTTCCAAGGATACATCATGGAAATGCCGAAATCCAAAACCTCTATGTGTGGAGTCCGGTAAAACCCTGGTGGCAGCCATGTTTGTTTATATTATTAGAGGACGCTTACGCGCGTAATCATTTCATAGTTGGAATTCGCATTTCCTTGTATGGTAGGATGAAAATACCCCGTTAAAATATCGCAAAATTATGGCACGCTGTAACTTATGGCATTACGGTGACAGCGTATAATACTATAATATATTGGGGCGTTTGGTGGATTACTTTATTTAATGCGTCATAATACATACTTGTAAAATGGTGCTATAATTTCTCCGCCCCCACCGTGACCTTAGTGTATAGATACGTAAAAAGGAGGGCGGTTTGCGTAGCTCAAAATGACGAATAAACAATATATCAATTGTGAAAGCACCCCGGTTTATTTGATGTTTCATACATTTCCCGAATCAACACATCATAGTCGAAAATAATTACCACCCAGAATCCAGCTAACTCGATGTTCAAATACGTGGATAGTTGAACCGGTGGTAAAACAGTATTGCCGTCAATCTTCACTGCTTTTGACGGTAACAAGTGTATCACCTGTAATTGTAAATACAGTAACACTAGTTTTCGTGATAAAATCCACCTACTTTAAATAAATAAAATTACATTGAAGATGGAATGTGCATGTAATAACACTAATTTTTATTTTTTTGTTTCGATTATGATTTCACAAATAACGGTATCCATGCAACACATAACTCTGAAATTGTTTGATGAAACAGTGAAATTCTCTAATGTGCATGTGCGTTGACTGTTTTGATGCGTACGATATAATCATTGCACATGAGTATAACCGTTTTTTTTAAACAACGAACGAATATTGTACAGTATGCTCACGAATAATCACGAATACAATGTTGTTATTTATGAGACTATTCAGAGGTGTCTTAAGGAGTCAACTAGTTTAGGTGATGTACATACCATGTCGTAAATGTTTAATGTCACGTCCGTGGTCCAAGACAAGGCATATGACGGGTACAAAATCTTGTTATTGACAATTACAGATATATGGTACAAGCTATTTGGACACTCCGTATTAATCAGAACATAATCACAGCCACCCTGGTAGTTATAAAACTTATTGTCGAATGTCCAATAATGTGGACCACCGAAGGAGAAACAGAAGTCCGAATCTGAATAAAAAAGAAACAATAATATGTAGTTCGTAATACACTGCGTGGTGTTCACCGCGTTATTTTGTTCGTACGTGGAACTAAATTTAGCAACGGTCGTGTTACTAACGAATGCATATTTCAAAATTAATTATTCAAGCTGCTTGTGCAGTGTAACCAATTTTTATACATACATAGAATAAATACATCTCACGTACGATTGGCTTATTGTCCAATAAGACATCGGGAACCTCAATAGTCAATGTAAATATTGACTGTGTATTGTGTTGTGATGTGTATGGTATGGTGTGTAGTATGTGTTTGGTCGAAAGATATATGACCGCAATTTCGTTGCATTAATGTTTGAACGTATATCACATTAACTGTTTTTAGATAGCATACTAATGTATTATATAGGGTAGTAATAACATACCTGAGCAGTCGTCGGTGTACTCTGGACAACAGTCACCATACTCAACACACAGAGCATCGCAATAACATTCACGCTCGGAAATGTAGGCTCCACAATTGTCACGACACTGTCCTTTAAAACAAGTGCGCGGTATGCATTATGTTGTACTATTGCTTACGTTTTACATAGTAATTACAGCATTTGTGGTGAAATTACATAATGTAAAATAAAATCACACTACTTACTAATTGGACAGCATATTGACACTGTAGCTGTGGTTGTCCCTCCTACTGTTTGGCAGTCTCCTAAGCAACTGTTTACTGTGTATGGGGTTAGTGTTAACGGTAAAGAGCAGAACCCAGTAGGCTGTGAGTCGACTGAACATAACCATTCTGCCGAAGGAAGAATTAACACATAATAAAGCCGTTTTTCCATTCCAAAAATGTAGTAATTCAGTGAATAGTTTATTATACTGGCAATTTTAATTACGAACGGTCAATATTACCATTATAGGAGTGCCATGGTTAACTGATTATATACACACATTGCGTAACTTGAAGCTAAAAGTATCGAATAGTAAAATAATGTGGGTGATATTCTTATTGGAAATCATTCGTGAATAAAAATTACTACAAAATGTTCGATTCTCATGCATTTCGCCTTTGAAATATTAATAAAATAATACTCTTAAAATTAGTTTACCTATAATCTCGTACACGTCAATAGAATTTGTAGTTCCAAAACCTGTAACGCATTCCGTGGATGCGCCCTGGGATCGGTACAGACCTTCATCCGATGTACCAAAACATTTTCCACTATCAAGCCGATGAGCAAAGTACTGGAATCCTGCGTGGACCGCGGCCCTAGCACATTTCTTTGTAAAAACAAAACCAAAAAATCGACGTTCAACAACATATTATCGCGCTTTGCACAGTGCCATTTTGAATATTAAAACTCTAAAATTAATCATCTTTTTAAATTGAAGAGAATAACAAGAAGATTTAGATAACTTCTTATTCGGACGTACATTAAATAAATCTGATGCAAACATTGATTTTGGACGCCGGCATACTCGTTATTTGTGGAACTCTGCCTACTAGATCGTTGCATCTACGAGCATCAACGGAACACCTATTGAAGGAAGTTGTAATAACGGTATCGGTTTTACCTGTTTCTTTTTTCACCGCATTGGCGCAACTTGTATAAACTTACCCTGGTTTTGTCTGTCCTTGATGCATAGTGGCCATCTAAATACGGATTGTTGGTATTTTCCAATGAGGTTAACAACGGTGGCATATTTTGGTCTAACCAACAGCTTCTGTGTTCATAATCTACACAAGGACAAAGACAGAATAGTTATACCTGGAGGCAACACCATAGGTGAAAACTGTTTTGCCTCGCACCAACACATGGAATGCACCTACCAATCCCCCCCCAAAAAAAACACTGCGCTATACGCTGTACCTGACAACTCGGATCATTTTGTAATACACTAACATTTAGATGACATCTACGGACGTTCACTTACCAATCTCCAACGGACAATCAATCGTCATACATGATCGCGTTTCGGTGTCAGCGCCGGCACATGGAGCACCTGGTGAGGCTACCGATGGCGCTGGGCTATTACAATCTCGATTTCTTGTCTGAGTTGATCCACCGCATGTAACAGAACAATCCGTCCAGGCACTCCAAGGAGACCAGTTTCCATTTATCACTGTTTGTTTTTAAAAGAAAAAAATATAGTAGTTGTATTCGTTATTTTTATTTTTTTAAATTGATTGAGCTTAATCCAGTATCAACATTCATGCGTAGTTTAATGTCAAAATATTAAGAATAACTAACAAATCAGAAGTAATAATTATGTTTAATTAAACTGTGCATTACAATGCAACTGTTTACTCAATAACGCCTTACCTTCACATTTGTAGAGCCCATTGATTTCAATTAAGTCCAAAACACTCGGACCATTTTTGTGGCCAACTTCTATACCCGGGTCGACGTGGGGGATAATCACTTTAACAGAAGGGTCAAGGGCAAACGCATATAGACTATAATGCAATAGTGAGCCGAAATCGTAGTTGGTGTTCTGTAAGGTCATTGTCGAAGGCGAGACCTTGTCGAAGTTGTTCTGAAAATCTGCAGAATAAAATATCGTGATAAGATTAATAGATTTTTAAATGGTAAACTAATCAATTCCCATCTAGAGGGCGTTTATATATTT